TGTTCTTTTTGTGTGTCTTTTTAATTAAATTTTTGTTAAAGTGATATAGGATGGCTTAAGGAGTTAAATAGTCCTGGTAGGTTTGTAAAACAGCAACAGCTTTAGCGGGTTTGGCTCAGTGGATAGAGCGTCAGCCTGAAGACTGAAGGGTCCCCAGTTTGATTCTGGTCAAGGGCACAGGCCTGGGTTGTGGGCTCGATCCCCAGTAGGGGGCGTGCAGGAGGCAGCCGATCAATGACTTTGTCTCATCATTGATGTTTCTGTCTCCCTCTCCCTTCCTCTCTGAAACCAATAAAAAAATATATATTAAAAAAAAAAGAACACGGACTATGACATTTCATATGTCTTTTGGTGAACATAGGTACACATTTCTTTTCTTTAAGAAATGGGGAAGTTAACTTTTTTTTAAAGTTATATATTGATTGATTTTAGGAGAGAGAGGGAATCGTTGTTCCACTTATTGATGCATTCATTGGTTGCCTCTTGTATGAGCCCTGACTGGGGATTGAACCTGCAACCTTGGTGTATGGGGACGATGCTCTAACCAACTGAGCTACCCGGCCAGGGCCAGGTACACATTTCTGTAGGGCGCATACCCCGAGCGGAATTGCTGGGTCCCAGGGCAGACACTGTGGTAGGTAAACAGCTTTCCAAAGTGGTTGTACCAACTGACACCCCTCAGCAGGGTGGTTCCACAGCCTCCCCAGCACAAGGCATTTCCTGTCTTCTCCACTGTGGCCATTCTGGTAGGTGCGTAAAGATCACTCATCTTGGTTTTGGTCTATATGTTATTCAAAACAGCTGTACTGAGATATGATTCTCTTGTCGCTGTCTGGGTGCCATAAAAGGCACCCCATTGTAAGCATTCAGTTTGGTTATTTTTAGTAACTGTCACCACAGTCCAATTTTAGAACATTTGCGTCACCCCACAAGGTTCTCTAGTGCCCACTTGTAGGCATTCCTCCCCCCACACCTGACCCCAAACAACCAGGGACCTGCTTTTTATGTGGCTTTAATTTACATTTCCCTGAGGACTAATCAAGCTGAGCCCTTTTTCTTTTTTTTTTTTTTTAAATATATTTTATTGATTTTTTACAGAGAGGAAGGGAGAGAGATAGAGAGCCAGAAACATCGATGAGAGAGAAACATCCATCAGCTGCCTCCTGCACATCTCCCACTGGGGATGTGCCCGCAACCCAGGCACATGCCCTTGACCGGAATCGAACCTGAGACCCTTCGGTCCGCAGGCCGACGCTCTATCCACTGAGCCAAACCGGTTTCGGCTGAGCCCTTTTTCATTTGGCCCTTAGCCACTTGGAAATCCTCTTCTGTGAAATTTCTGTTCAAGTTTTCCCCCCAATTTTTATGTTGACTTCCCTGTCTTTTTCATACTGCTTTGTAGTTCTTTATGTATTTGGTGTATGAGCACCTTGTCGATCAATATGAATATATTTTTCCACTCTGTGCTTTGCCTTTTCATTCTCCTAATGGTTAATTTTATATATGTGCTGCCAAAGCGAGCACATTAATGGCTTATTTTGGTAAAGTTCCTAATTTTAATATACTTTGATTTATATTTCTTGTACAATTAACATCTTTTTTTAATGTTTTTATTTATTTTTTAGAGAGGGAGGCAGGGAGAGGGAGAGAGGGAGAAACATCAATGAGAAACATTGATCGGCTGCCTCTTGCACGCCTCCCAATGGGGGCATGTCTTTTAAATTAAATTTTTGTTAAAGTAATATAGGATGGCTTAAAGAGTTTCTTTTCTTTTCTTTCCTTTTCTTTTTTGCAGCTGTTTTGTTTATAGCTCTTATCACACTCTTGGATCACTTTACCTATTTATTGATTGGTTTACTCGGTCCCCCTTCTGCCCTCAGCAAAAGTTCCGAGGGGAAAAGGTGCCAGTCACCTGGGCCGAGGGGGCGTGAGGCTGGGGTTGGGATCGTCTGCCCACGTGGGGCCGCCCAGCGAGCTGCCACAGCACCGAGGGCAGGGCTGAGGGCTGAGGCTCCAGGGGCTGGGCACAGGGTGCTCAGGGCACTTGACACCTGACCAACCCACCCCCTCCCCCAACGGCTGCAGACAGACCCGGTGCGGCTGACCCAGCTGTACGAGCAGGCGCGGTGGGACCTGCTGCTGGAGGAGATTGACTGCACCGAGGAGGAGATGATGGTGTTCGCAGCCCTGCAGGTGCCAGGCGGCCGGGGCCCGGGGTGGCAGGGGTGCAGGCCAGGCCCGGGGCAGGAAGGGTCCTCCAGGTGGGGGCCCCATCTCCAGGGAAGCCCAGCTCAGGGCCGGGCTGGGCGGATGGGCTGCCCACTGAGCCCGCCCTGGCCATGCGCCCCTCCCAGTACCACATCAACAAGCTGTCGCAGAGCGGGGAGGTGGATGAGCCCGCGGGCTCGGACCCGGGGCTGGACGACCTCGACGCAGCCCTGAGCAACCTGGAGGTGAAGCTGGAGGGCTCGGCGCGCACGGATGTGCTGGTGAGAGGGGCTCGGTCAGGGTGGGTCAGGGTCAGGGTCAAGCCAGAGCCAGGCCCGCTGACTCCTCTCCTCCCCAGGACAGCCTCACCGCCATCCCAGAGCTGAAGGACCATCTCCGCATCTTGCGGTGAGTGGGGGGCAGAGTTGGCAGCCCCGCGGGGGGCGGGGGGCAGTGTGGAGAGAGGAGGAAGGTGGCCTCTGACCCCGCCTCCCCCTCAGGCCCCGGAAGCTGACCCTGAAAGGGTACCGCCAGCACTGGGTGGTGTTCAAGGAGACCACGCTGTCCTACTACAAGAGCCAGGACGAAGCCCCGGGGGACCCCATTCAGCAGCTCAACCTCAAGGGTGACGTGAGGGGCTGGCCCGGGGGGCGGGGGGTGCATCGCCTGTCCTC